ACGTGGGCGCCCTTCTCAACTAGCAGCTTCACAATCTGCTCGTGGCCTCCGTGTGAAGCCGCCTGGAGTGCGTTGCCGTATACTCCACCCTGCGCGTCGACGTCGGCGCCTCGATTTAAGAGGCAATTTACCGTATGTAGTAAGCCCCCAAACGCGGCGTAATACAACGCCGAGGCTTGCTCTCCACTCTTGTCCGGTCTATCAAGCCATGGTTGATCTGGTCGGTAAAGACTGTAGCAGACCTTATAGGAGCTTTCCCGACAACAGAATAATTGCTCAATGAATTCCAGCACTCTGTTGTCCGTACCCTTAGCCCCTACCGCATTAGTCATCCAGTATCTTGCTGAATAGTGCGCGAAGGGAAAGCGCTGCATGATATCCTTGGTAAAACTTCCTGACCGAAGTGTAGTAGATATGCTAGACAAACTCTCGCAACTGCTGCTCTAGCAATAGACTCTTGGAAATCCGGCGCGATATCGCTATCCAGCCGATTCGACATCAGATATTCTTTGACCGAGAAATGTGCCAACTGAAGCTCCGCACGATTATTACCTTCACCGTTCGAACGTTCCGCAATTGAAACTACAGCCACCAAGCTCGAGCAATAACGCGATATTTCTTGAGGGTCAGGCATCCTGTACTTCGGACAAAAGTATGGATCCCCATTCGTGTCTACGGCTATTGCATCAACAGCCTCCTCGATCCTTAATGGCCGCTCTGAGAACGTTATAAGCTGGAGAATGGTCGTAGCGTATTGCTTGTGCTCGGGAGGAATGGCGTGTAAGATCCTGCTGTAGGTTTCATCCAACGTCTTTGGAAGGGAAGCAAGCGCACTTTTGAGAGTTCGATAGTCTAAACAATTTTCTAGGGCATCAATCTGGCATGCAGCCCATCGGAACCTGCTCGACTTTAGTGTGCTACTCTAGGTAACAAGCAGAAGCTCTACTCACATCTCGTTGGCCTTCCGCATAAGTGCAGCCTCAATCTCGTCCTGAACTTCCGGTTGTTCTCGCCATCTCCTTAAACCATCACCCTGTCTGACCCTAGTGCAAATGTATGCATGGATGTCACCGCTGATAAGATCGCTTTGGATAGGAATCGTATTTTCCTTGTGAACTAGGTCGCTCAACTTCGATTGAATGTCCTGCTCCGGCCGACTTGTTACGAGAAGGTGGACATTCCTTTGCCCTGAGCCTAGCAGATCTCTTATCCATGAGAGCAATCCTTTGTTGTGTGACCCTGCCCGCGTACAACACTCGTCAAGAGCATCTAACACAACATATACGTCCTCCAAGGGCTCTATCATTTGCAAGAGAACCTGACAGAGTGACTCGCGTCTTGGTTGACGACGTCCATCTTCACAAGAGGCAAAGAGCGAATCCAATTGCTTCCATGTGTTCTCACACCTGCAGTAGAGCTGGCTAATAAGGGATCGGATCATGCTGTCGAGTGTCTGCTTATCGACATCGCTAAAGTCGAAATAGAAGTAGAGGAGAGTTGGAAGGGGAAGGGTCTTCTCCAAATCCTCAATAATAGTGGAACTGAGGATTGTCTTGCCGCATCCGGGTATGCCGTAAAGCCACACGGTGGAGCTCCGCTGCGTCTTCCATTGGACGTACGCATGAGTTTGTAGGAACCAGAGTCCTGTACCTTCCTGGCGTTGTTGTAAGGCTTTGTTGTAGTTTGTGGATGGATCTGATGGCGATAGCCACCGTTCAATATTTCCTCGCCTCTGCTTAAATGACATGTCTTGTACAGTAGACCTTGCGTCTTTAACATCGCAACGTATTTCATTTACATCCTCTTTCCCTTATTTAACGTTAACGAAATAATCATTACACTTAGCAGAGCTAACTAACCAGACAAAAGAAGATCGGAAATCTTCTTCTCAGCCTCGATCTTGTTTGGAGGAATTCGGCAGAGAATATCTTTTGCGTATGCAGCTGCTGCCATTGCTGCGTACCCTTGCCACTCCTTGTTCTTATGGGTGTCAGAATAGTCGCAAATGCCTCGAATAACTAGGCAAGGAAACTGGTTCATCAATCCTGCCGCTTCCATCTCAAAGCATAGGACGCCGTTATCCTCCGCTAGCTTGTCCCGAAGTAAAGCGTCCTTCATTAATTGGTTCGCCGAGGCAATCAGACCGTAGTGGATCGCTGTATTATCCTCGTCTTCGGCTCGGTCGTCTCGCCGCCTCAATTTCGACAGATCATCTCCACAGACCACGGCGCAGATTTTCTCATTGTTCGAAGGATGTTTGACTGTAGACTGATAAAGTCGATCGCTTTCTAGACTGGGTCGCTTATATTTCTTCTGCAGTCTTGGTTTCTCTTCCAGAATACAGTTGATAGTCTCATCAAGCTGATGACCGTCGCTCTCATATTGTGCCTTGAGTCCATTCACGGCCGTCCGTAGGACCATTGGTGGCTGGTTTAAGAAACCCGTTGGTTGGAAGCTCTGATCTTGGATCGTTTTGCCGAAGTCGTATTGAAAAACACCACCGTTCCCATCACGAGGGGCGCTGACCACGATATCACCCAGACGGATATCGTGCTTGGGAGTTGGTGCACCGCCACCAATGCCAACCATCAGCCCGATTCTGATATTTGGAAAGCTGTGGAGCATGTCCCTTGTGACACCTGCTGCAGAGGAAATACCGTAACCACCATCAGGGAGGACGGCGATAGCGACGTTATGTTTCCCAATTCTACCCAGTGTGTAGTCGTTGTTGTCATGAGAGTGCACATATTCCGGTCGGTCGTGCTTTTCGTCGAGGAAAGCTTGAGCTGCGACATATTCGGTAGTAATGGCGCAAATCCAGCCTACCGTATATGACTCATTTTGTAAATTCTGCTGAGAACTTTCCTTCAGGACACTCTTCGAAACCCCGATCTTTGATTTCTTCGATTCTGAATAGGCGAGCACTCCGTATTCGCCGGCAACCCTTTTCTTAGACATGTCTATGACGTCGTACCGTTGTGCACTGTTTCAGCTTTCAAGGATGCCGAAGGGTATTGAGTTACACACGACACAGAGAGCGCGCGGAGGACAAATCGTGAAGACGTTCTCTAAGAGGGCCTTTTATCACCTTTAACGATGGAAAATGGTCAACTTCAGTGTATAGAAGAAGTGGTCTTGTCACGAAAAAGGACCAAACCTGAGTTAAGGTTGAAGTGGTTGCGATTGATTCAGCCGCACAGGCTGAAAGGCTGCTAGGCAGCAGTGCTTGGCTTCACCACTGAACTAGTGCAGATATAGTTAGTTAGTTAGCCCGGATTGGTGATCGCTTCTATTCGAAGTACCAACCTGCGTGGCGACCTTGCATGAAATTTGCGCGCCACAGCAGACACCAGGCTGATGATGACTTCCCAACATTATAGCGAGGTTCTAATGCTCGGATAAGACCCTGCTATCAATATTTAGAGCGGTAAGAGCTTTGTAGTGGTTCTGTGGGGAGAGAAGTCTATTTGCTATAAAAGAAGGCTCTCTACAAATTAGGCTTGAAGGCGAGGATACGAACGTAATTTTTAGGTGATAAGTGTCCTGGGCTGTTCAGGAATAGCCATAATACACGAATTATATAGAACTATTGCACATACCGATGTGTGTATAGAGTGTGAGTTGCTTAAAGTCAAAGTACCCCTTATATTTCTCGGCACGGTGGGTTTCTCGGCACGCAGAGATAGACGTTACTCTACCTTTATAGGTAGAGTAGCTTGCTATCAATCGTGACATGAGACTAGTGTACATACTAAAAGTCCATCATAGAACCATGAGAGGGCATTCAGAAACAAACACATTGTTGCAAATGTTGCAGCCTTTAATCGTACCAAATAGATTTGTATTAGAGGCTTCGGCTACCTCTACAGCCTTCTACATTATCCAAAACCTGAACGCCATTCGTAAGCATTAGCGCCGTCTCAAACCAACGTCATCTAAAATCAACGCTATCTAAATTCATTAACGCCATCTGAAATCGTTAACTCCATCTAAAGCCTTTGATTCTATCCAAAAGCCTCAAATTTATCCGGAAATGCCACCTTCAATCAGCCCTACTCAGCATCCGTGAGTCTAGATCGGCGACCTCCGCGCCAGCCTACCACGGTCCGAAATGGCGACGGAGAATGGTCTTGTTCTTCGGAATGACATAATTTCCATGCAGCTCCAAGAGCTTCTGGATCATGTCCTCCAAGTCTTGCGCCTTCATGGTGCGCAAACCCTTGGCTATCTGCTGGAACGCAGTGACGTGGCCATCCACAAGGTCTGACTTCTCTTCGTGGTAGAAGATTTTCTCTCCTACCACCTGGACCAGGTTGCCGTCCGCAACTGGCGTCTTCGGGTCTAGGTCAAACTCATACTCAGCCCAGCCCGTACGAACTGCCATTGTATGCTCCTCCAGGTCAGATTGATCGCCTTCCCACCTACGATTCCGAACAATGAAGGTCAGCTTCGTGATATCCTGAATGAGTTGTCCTATGGATTCGAGCTACGCGCGAACGATCTCAAGGCTTTCTTCAAACGCGAGGCCGAGCATGAACTCGGTATTCTTCGCCCAAACGGGGGAATACTCAGCTCGTAGTCGGCGTGACGTCTGTATCAAGGCGGGGATGTGAGGGGGTCCTTGGTAATAGCCGGCGTGGTGAGCGTCGTCGTACTGCTCTCGCTGCATGCCAACCCGAACGGTGTTCTTCAGAGGGCCTACCGTAACGGTTTCCTCGGCTTCATCTTCAGCTACGAGGTCGTGTATCATATTGCGAAGTTCGCCTGGCAGACTAAAGAAGCCCTCTAGCTTCGCATCGACGTACATATCTTCATCGTCGGGATCATCGGCGAGGAAGTTGTCGAGTTGCTTCTGCAGCTCGGCATCAGCAGTCGTGGTATTCTGGAGGTTTTGCTCGCCGCCGGATTCGTCCTCCCGGCTTGGTTCCTCCACTCCCGAATTGTCGATGAGGTTATCTTCATCGTCTGAAGCTTCCTGGTCCAGTTCGGTAGGTTGGGTCCCAGACTTGACGCTCGCAACTTCAGTGTCCTCCATCATGTGGTCTTCGTCGGATTCGTCTTCCCAGCTAGAATCCTCAGGTTCCGTAGCTTCAACAAATTCACCGTTAATGAACCAACCTTTAACGGATTTTTAGGAATCAGATTCCTCTAGATACATGCTGGCTTGTTCAGCACGCGTCTTCCGAGATCGTAACGAGTATGGCTCCGAACGCTGAGACGATCGGGCTGACGAGGCAACTGCTTTTGGCATATTGATGAAGGTAGTCCTGCTCGGATATGAAATAGACGTTTAGGGTGCGAGGGAAAGAAGGTTGAAGTTGAAGTGCCTGCTCCCAAAGTGGTTTTGGTGGGTGCTGGTAAAAGGGGGGTTCTGCGGAAGGGAATTTCTGATGACGAGAAGAGCCTGCTCAAGGACGGAATTAAATACAGGAGTCGGCATCCTCACAATGATGCTTTCACTCTCTCTTGGTCATGATGAGAGTACCATCGTGTGAAAACATCGAAGGCATTCAGGTGAATGTGTAAAACCACAATGTCAAGTTTCCTACCATTCACTGCTTGCCGGAGCTACATTGTGCTTCAACCTTTCCACGAGTCCGCCATATTCGGCGAACGTATATGTGATAAATGTTGATGTATAGAGAAGCGTTTCTGAAAAGAACGTCGAACGTGGATCCAAGCCACAAGCTGCTGAAAAGCGCAAGTCTAGAGGAGCATGCGATGGCCGTCTCTACCAATAGGGTTAAGTGCTGGCTCGATCTCGGCCACAAGAAACCGATGATAGACATCAAGTCTTTAGGTAGGTAGTTTGCATGAAGGCTAGAACTCTGGGAAGGCCCTTGTAGCCTGCGTCAGGGGCCTTGTCGTAGCGATTCCGCTGCATTGCGACTCGGGCTGTACTTTTGAGGGGACCCACAGTCACTGTTTCCTCTGCACCGTCTTCAGCCGCGAAGTCGTGAGCCATGCCGTGCAGCGCTCGTGGAAGTCCGTAGTATACCTAGAGGCTGTAGGGGTCAGTTTCAGCGGGTTGGGTCTTCTCCAACGTCTTGTCCGCCTCGCCTTCACCATCAACGTCGATGCAATCCACAACCATATTCTCTGCGTCATCATCCTCCCAGCTTGAAACTACTGATTTGTCGCCGTCCACAAACATATCCTCGGACTCTGAGTCCTCTGGATCGAAATTGAGTTGCTGAACAGGCTTCTTCTCGAATCAGGCCATATAGGGGTTCGCTCGCTTGGACAGCCGGGCTTGTTGCTTTTCGAATGAAAACGCCAGCGAGCTTTTCATGAGTCCATCCGGCCCGTGGTATGCAATGCCCTTAGAAAACGAAAGGTATAAAAGAGTAACGGTAAGTATAAAAAAACAATGAATAGAATATAGGTACCCTAACACCAATGCAGCGTCAGCTTCAAAGCTAAGGCAGGGTAGAAGCGAGCCGATGAAGTTGAAAAGCCATTCCGTGGACCTTCTCGACACCAAGGCGCCTAAGAACTCCGCGAGTTCCAGGCTTCCCACACTCATATCTCCAGTCGCTTCGACAGTGCGCCTACCACGGCCCAAACCGCCTCCTCAGAACGCGCTTCTCCACCAAATTCCCATGATCGCTCACCAGCGCATTCACGAGTTTCTTGATATCCCCCACGACAAGGGTGCTCGCTTGACGTTTCTTCCGCAGACCCTCGACGGCAGTCTTAAATGCCTCGCGTTCTGTGCTGACAGTCTTCGACTTATCCTCCGGCGCCGAATACACCAACTTCTCCCCATCCATAAAGATCAAATCCTCATCCGCTACCCCTTCCTTAAAATTAAACCAATACTCCGCCTACCTCTCATACATTATCTCCACCCCTGCTTGCTTAGGCAGATCGCTCCGCCTATCCGTCCACGCCTCCCCGCGTAGGATGAAGCTCATCTGATTGAGGCAACCCGCGAACGGGCGAATCCACTCCAGCCACATCCTCACAACCTCAATACTGTCGTCGGACGCGAGGCCGAGCGTGAATTCAGTCTGGGAGACCCAGATAGGGAAGTACTCCGTGCGGGCTTGCTCGCAGACCTGTAGCAGGGCTGGGGGCTTGGGGAGGAGGGGCTTGTAGCCGGCGTGCCAGTCGGCGGAGATGCGGGAGCGGCACATGGCGACGGTGACGGTGTTTTCGGTGGCGGCGAGGTGGGTGTAGATTTGATTGCGGAGTTCGGCGGGGAGGGCGAAGAAGGGGAAGGGCTTGGGGGCCGCGACTATTGAGTCTGTTTCTATGTCTGAGGCAAGCGAGCCTTCATGTGTCTCGGTTTCTGCTTCTTTTGGGTTGATGGCGAGCTGCTGGGATCTGAATGCGTCTAAGGCCTGCTCGAGATGCTCCTGGGATCGGAGAGGGTAGCGGGCCTGGCGGGAAGCCTTGGTGGAAGTGGTTGCACGTAGTCGAGGCGATCGTCGCCGGAGATGTATTTGATCAAGGCGCTCCTTCCGCAGAGCTCTCATGACGCTGTAAATCATTTGGTGCTCTTGAAACTCGTTGATACTAAAATGACCGCCCCAGAACAATACCAATTCGTGTGTGTTACTGTAAAAGTGTGAGGCTGCGAGGCTTGAGAAAAGACGGGGTAAATCTTAAGGCTCATCTCACAGGAAGCTGCAAAGCGTTATGAGGGCAGGAGCGGACCTGATTCCTACCGCGGAATGCATAAGTATATGAGCGCCCATTGTTGATGGGGTTTGCGGATGAGATTGTTTTGCAACGACACGCCATCGCTTTGCAATATTATAAAGGAGATGTCTTTGTATTCTGCGTCGCTGTGACAAAGCAGCATAACAGCAAGCTCCGAACAAGCTCTGGAAGTTGCTAGAAAGACCTCAGTGTATCGTCCGGGTTTGCTTTGATAGGGATAAAGGTATGACGTATTCTGTAGTTAAAGTAGTAAAAACTCCTGAGTCTTGGACGTATATTCGATCATCTCCATTGCCTCGCCGTCCATGATGCCATAGATGAAGCACTCCCCTTTCAACTCCCAGTAATCCTTCACCGGCTCCAAGATAACCGGGACGCTACACCCATGCAAAGCGCAAATCTTGTAGGCCGGCTTAGCTTCAGCCGGGCCAAGACCAAACAGCTTACGACCCTTGACGTCTGTAGTAGTGAAGAGAGTACGGTTCCAGATGACGCTTCGCACGCGCCGGATAAACTGCAGCGCCATGGATGAGTGCTGCCGGTCGCGAATTAGGCTCTCGTGATGTCGTTGCCATAGAATTCTTGGAACCAGTGCAAACAAGCTTGGTGATACCACAGCGGTGCCAATGTGCCATCTGGACCACGATCCGCCACGAGCGTGCGCCATAGGTGATCGGGTACAAAGCTGTCGCTAAGTTCGTCCTCCGGCCCCTTGAACATCTCGATTCATTCTATAGGAAGTGTGCCGTCCTGCGAGCGGCCGCCGAGAGCTTGAATCTCGCCTACCACAAAACCGTTGACCGTCATTGAGCGGTTGAGCTCTCGCTTGCCGCTCTTGGATAGTTTTCCGAAAATGGGGGTTGCGATAGAACCACCTGCTGCAGCATAGAAGGGCCAATTGGCATGGCCGATGAAGAGGTCTCCGCTCTTGCGACCTGTCTTGCTGTCCTCGCCAAAGGGGAGATGGTTGACCTGGCAGATCCAAGATGGCAGCTTCTCTGCCCTGGGCCATGTGCCGTACTCGGAATGGAATCTTGAGCCGGCCTTGGTTTTAGGCGCCCAAGGTCGACAAATGATGTCGAGGGACTTTGAAGCCTGTGTGCAGTCCATGACGAACTGCTAGAATACTTCGAGCGGGCTATCACTTGCTTCATACGTCCAAAGCTGGCGGTCGGTAGCTAAGGGTAGCAGTGCGTAGATAACAGCTATAGGATGCCATGACTGAAGTGCCGGCAGCCGCGAGACCAACTCCTCAAGATTGCAAGTGGCGAGGCTCGACCCGTCACCTTGTCGTCGGAAGTACTCGCGCGACGCCTCCACAATGGAGTAGGCTGCCAGACTTCGAGGATCCACCAAGCTGTCTAGCTTGCTACTTTGGCTAGTTACTGGTTAGCGTTGAAGGCGGTCTGACCGAAGAGATTGCACTGGGGATCTTTACTCTGAAGGTACAGCAGCTCTTACTAGAAGACGAACATCATCGTAGCGAGAGCCTAGGATGATTACGGCGTCGGTAAACTCGCCCCAGTCAATGAGAGCGCCCCCGCAGTATAGCACTGCGTGCTTGGCAAGCATCAATTCTAGAAACACCCAGCGGCGGCTAAAGTATGGCGGTTTCATAAGGTTAATCAGTGCTTGCCACTTGACGGGTATGCTTTCTTCCTTGACGAGCAAGTCGATTAACGTTAGGTCGAGGAGGTCTGGAATGAAATCGATAGCTGTGTAGCTGTCGTCACTGGCCTCTCCAAGTTTAGACGCGCGTTGGAAGATGCCGGGTATCAGCTCTCCTTGGTCCTGTGGCTCTTTCTCATCAACCCAGTTGATACAAAGCTGGTCACCCACACGACAATGGTATCGCCGGGTCGTCGGAGCTGCCTCAGAGCCTGTTGAAGAGTTGGATGAACCGCCAGCGAAGTTCTGCGATTGCCTTCTGTAACGAGAATCTCATTGTTCCATTCTGGGTCGGGAAGCAATGAGGTCTTTCGAGGAGAATCTGGAAATGCTTCCTCTAGGCGCCAGCTAAGGGCCGTGTACTCATTCTCTGTGTCTCGACGCAGGACTCGATTCTCAATAAAGCAGTTCAACTGCTCTTCTAAGTTGTATGCAGGGTAGATACCTAGCAGCCGTTTTGTGTTTCTTGAAGCTGTGAGTAGCGATACACGTCCAAAGGCGGACTTAGGGGTGGGGTATCCTGCCATGTTCTATTCAGGAATTAATCACGTGATAGACCAACGCCCAGTCCCAGATTGTATTGGGTTGGATCGAAATATGTACCCTTGCTGAAGTTGGAGCAGTTTTCGGCGTTCGAAGGCGCGATCCGATGGAGATAGTGATTGTGTTGCTCGCGCACTTTTGCGCAGGCCTATCGACGACCTAAAACGAAGTTAAAGTTGGCACTATTGAAGGCAGTGGCTCCCCCATTGGCGGGAATATGGCCTACCTTGGAGTTCGAGGTGGTGTCGATTTAGGGGTTGGTGCAGGTGGAGGATTGCGAGCCCCGTTTCTCACAGGTGTCTGGGGCACCGACTGAGGTGATGGCTCCGCCTTGCGCTCTACCGCTGCGATCGGGACAACTTTTGGGCTTCCATGGTCGCCTGGCACGGGCAAGACTCTCAAGGTGATGGCTCTTTTCGGGTCGTTGAAAAAGGGAAAGTAATCAGGCGTCACGCGCCTATCGGTGCCCCTTTCACCGAGCGCATTTGAACTGTTCAGTATGTCCGAAATCATCGTTTTGAGGTAGCTGATGTCGACGGCTTCCTGGTTCTCTCGCATTTGTTTGAGGGCCTTGGTTAGAAAGGTTGTGAAGCTGTCACTGCCGCGCATGGGAGCCACGCTGTGGAAGCCCGTCACGACGAGCGCTACGACGGTGCTAGAACTCTGCTCACGATGCACTGATGCACCGGCGTAACAGCAGCCCAGCATAAATATGACAGGCGAGTCACATTTGTGTAAGAACAGTGCTTGCTGAGCGCTCCAATTGACTTGCGGGATCCCTCGGAGGTTCTTGGACGACATTGGCGCATCATTACGAGGAGTAGCTGTCGTCAGTCTGCTGCAATGAAGCTAAGATGGGCTCTGGGTCATGCTTACCGAAGCCAGACGAGCTGGTTATCCTCGTTCTTCTCGCCGTGCCGGCCATAATACACAACCAGCAGCGTCTCTCGATCATCGTGCCTCAGGAATTCATGCAGTCGTTGGAAAACAGCTCGAAAAGGCTTCGTGGAGTCGATCTTGAATTTCTGCACGCCAAAGTTAAATCCCTCTAGCTCATCGCCGAGCTTGTCTCGCTGAGTCTTGAACCTCTCCAGTGTTTTGTCCCCGGGTTTCCAGCAGATCATCAAGGCCCCAGCCTTGGTGTAAGACCCCGCCGCATCATTGGTCTCTTGGCTCATTCCAGCTCACAACGTATGTAAATCCCGAGTTCGAAACGGTGCGATGTCACCAGTGTTCGGATAGAGACGAAGGTCCAGCAATATTCCATACATCTGACCAGTAATGTCGAGACGCGGGGCTCTCGACCAGAGCCGCATGCCCAGAGTACAATATCAACATGGGGAGGCGAACTGGCGAGGCATCTTCACAGACATGGCCAGGATGCCGCCCACCCTGCAGCGCCAATAATGCATGGGGCTGATCGATGTCCAGTAAGGTGACCTGGCCTCAGCCACAATGTTCTGACAGCAGCTGAACGACTAATTTGTGTACGAACGGCCCATTCTGTCTGGATATGTTACAACCGGAGAGGTCGATATGCCTCGCGAGGCTGAGCCATCCGCAAGTACGCCATCAGAATGGGGCTCCGCGATCAGTACCGCAACGCGATGAAAATGCACGATCTCGGCTACGCCCTCTACGAGCCCGAGCCGTTCGATCGCCTGCGCCCGGGAACGTTGGGCTACTTCGACGCACTGTCGATGGCACCCGGTATTAGATATCACCAACGCGGCTGAGGCTGCGGCCCTCGACTGCAAACCTTTCGTAGCGCCACGACTTCGATCGCCCGACGTGGCGCACTGGGACCCTCGCCCAAGCAGTGCCGTCGCGGAGAAAAGCACGAATCTCAGCGCTAGCGTCGACGGGTCAAGTTTCGGGTTACCGGCATCCGTTGGTGTCGTGACCGAGTATAGCACTAAGGCCGACTTTGGGGCGGTGCTCATGTGCGACGGTGACGTTATCGTTCAGGGCTATGACGTCCGCAAACCATTCGAGCGATGGGTGCGTGAGAACAAGGAGGCTCTTGCAAAGGTGGACGAGCTGCGGGAGCACGGCATTGTCATTTCGACATGGACCTACTTGTCAGAGAGCGTCCACCTCAACGTATGGCAGAACTCGGAAAACACGGTAAGAGTTGGCTGCGAGGCTGGCGCCGCAGGCATTGCCAAGGCAGATGCTGGAGCGTTATGGGTGCGAGGACGTTCTGGTAGTGCTTGAACCGACTGAACGACGGCAAACGCGTTGTCTTCTTCACCGACGTCAAGTGCGTGTATCGCTGGCTCGGGCGCATGTCGACGAAGCCGGAATCGGAGTGGCGTGGTGGTGAGAAGTTCCTGCTCTGGGACCCCGAAAGCCAGGACGCGTATGAAGGTGAAGTAGACTTGTTTGGTCGGGACTTTGCCGATAGTGAGAATGAGAGCGATGATGATGATGAAGATGATGAAGACACTTAACGTGACTGGCAACGTTTCAAAGAGAAAGAAACTACTATGGGGAATAAACAGATCAAATTCCAGAGTTCGAGTGGGGAATTGTCTTGGGGAAGCCTGGAGTCCCTTGTTGGCACTTTCAGTTTTGAGAGAGGCGTAGCTAGCCCATAGAGCCAAGAAGTGACGAGAGACGCGATGTTCTTCCGGGTCTATGATGTTCGATTCGACGGTAGTCTGGGGCGCTAATGGGATTGAGGTGGGGATGTTGAGATCAATCGTTGGAGGCGTAGCTGGCTACTTGGGGACCTGTATCGCAGATGTCGGAAGCACGTCGTAGAAGAAGCGACTTGAATGTTTCAACTAGGGCCAACAGCTTCTTGGAGAAGGAAGTTGTAACATGGAGTCCTTGAATAGCTCGAGTCAATATAAGCTTGTGCTTCCACGGTAGAGGTAATAGTAGCCTTCGTACACCAGCTCAGGATCGGCACCTGCGAATGCAACAAGGCATTGCCACGATTGCAGCATCCTCTCAGCGAAGCTTTGCATATCATGGTCCAAATAAAGGCATTTCTCTATAATATCTGCGGTGGTGGTGAAAAACCCTGAATCGACATCCCGCATGAGGTCGACCCAGCGAATCATAATGTCGAGAAGCCCGTGCTCTGGCCTGCCCGGATTGTGAAGGTCTGGCATATACTGCCTCCAGCTGATGAAATCACCCGGTATCGGATTGTTCTGAAGGAAAGCGTTTACCACAACGTTGAGGCTCAGACTGTGAAATAAGCGTCTCCCGAGATCCGTCTTGAACTGCTCCTTAGATCAGAGCTTGGCTAGCTCGACAGCTCCATTCAAGTGCTTCATTAGTATCTCCAGCGATTGTTGACTTGGCGATATGATGATTTCGAACATGCCTAAAAGCATGACTGAAACGAGCGTTGAGTCCTTTTTAGCAGTATCCGGAGATGCCAAAGCCAAATTGACCGCTCGAATCGCGGATGAATACTTCATGCGAGCTTTGTGGACTAGTACTGGGACGTTATTGACGGCAGCAAAACCCGCTAAGCCAACAGCCACTATGCTTAAGCTGAAATTCTTATCGAGTCCTGGCTGCTGATAGAAGTCCGGGAGGTAGTCGAATTGATACTGGGTCGCGTCACGTCCGACATAGTTGGTCATAAAAAGGTTTAGCGCCAGCTGGTCCAATGATTGAGAAAGATGATAAGGAATTTGCGTGAATGTTTCGAAAGCATCGGGATAGCTCCACTCCTTCAATCGGAAAAAGGAGCGTGACATCAACCCATTTGCAGTGATTGCACTCTCTGTCGGAGACGAGCGGATAATGGTAACATTTAGTGGGCTCGCCTTCCGCACCTTTTCAGCGACCTGAGAACTCTGATCTACAAAGCAGAGATCTAATTGGTTTCGGTACCCAGGGCATGGTCTTTTTTGAGACACGAACTGACCGCATTCTGGGACAGCTTGGTCCCACTGGTAAGGCTTAACAATGTAGTAGACGGACTATTTCAAGGTGCAGATACCTTTTTCTTCCTATTCCTACAAATAGCGCAGCCCTTTGAAGGCTTACCACGATACACCATCTCCAACTCGGACGACTAGAGACAATCTCGGGAGCAGCGGAGGTCGACCGCTAGCCTGACCTATTGCTGGCTTGCATAGATGAGGAATGTATTGCGAAGCCACTGCGAAGTCCATTCCGCAAACGACTAAAGGAGCGAAGATGGTGGTTCGTGTTGGAACGGAAGACCCTGCATGGCTGATGGCTAATGCCTACTTCACGCTATCCCCGATACAGCAAGCTGTGCGTGATTGGTTGGATCGACAGTCAGCGTACCACTTGAATATCTCAATTGAAGAATATACATATAGGTCGAAACATATGCCTTTAGACTTCTCAAAGCAATCCACGTTCTTCTTGACATCGAGAACTTATCTCATCTAAATCCATTACGATTGAACCTCTCAAGCTTCAGAACAATCCTCAACACTCGCGTTCCTTCGACCACCACCATCAATCAAACATCCACAACGACATCATAGACGCACCTTCCATACCTTGAATCTACTCCAAGCCCCTCCCACCTCAATCATCCAAAATGTGCATCACGTACCTCCTCGCCCGGAAGTCCAAATCCAGCAAAGCGGCCGAAGCCGAGCAAAACCAGCCGCACGATGCCCTGTCCTACGGCAAAGACCCCAACGGGCAGCAGATGAATCAACAAGGGCCAGGAAACACTGTGCAATATCCTGCAGCCACTGCACAAGAAGGAGCCAGGTGAAGTTCCAGATGAAGATGAAACGGCTCAAGGGCCGCCGGGGGCAGCGAAAGACCCATATGTGTGAGCGTGGGGAGTTCGACGGGTACAGGGTTCGAGATTGTGGGTTGAGAAGACGATTGAAAGGTTGGTGGGAGAAGCTGGAGCGAGAAAGTTTAATGGATAGAGGGGGATGGAAGTTCCTGGTTGAGCGCGGAATGTATTTATGTAAGATAGCCTGCACAAAGAAACGAAGGCTTGAAAGTATGACGATGCTTTTCGAGTAGTTTACCTCGTAACTAAAGGCGCCAGGGTGTATGATCCCACATAATGTCGATTCGTTATATCCCTTAGGGGCCGTTAGGTGCATCTACCTCTTTTAGGCTTCCAGAATATCTCAACCCCCAAAATCAGCCCCCCATCGGAATGACCCACATGCAGGCAGTGATGTCTTGCAGCACTTACCTACCTCCTTTGCCTACCTTCCACCCATCCACCACCCTGGTTCCCACGCCCGTCAGCAATCTCACGATCGATGCGTCTCATCACCTACCCTCCACTATGTTCTCAAACTATCCAATCCACCCTCTCCTTCCCATCCTTCTCACAACACCATCCCCCACAAATCCTCGGAACCGCCCTCATCATCCCAAAGCAACAAACCAGGCACCCCCGTTCCCCTTCCTTCCATCCCTCCTCATTGGTCCGCAGGCATCGGACAAGAGCGATCGGTTAAATGCCTGTCACAGGAACGAGGGAGAACAGTTGACTCTGTGATATCTATCATCCAATAACGACATTATGGTCCTAGGAGCAATGATGATGGAGGGCTAGACGATTTTATTGAAACAAAGAGAGAACATTGGACTCCGTGAGGGACCAAGAGGGCGTCTTGTGTGGGTCGGCCTCGCTCAGCTGTATGTGTATCTTCGATACAGGCTGACACGTGAAGAGAGGATCAAGGTGGAATAAGCAAGCGTCGAACGGGGCCAAGGCCCAGTAGTATTGGAGGCGTTCACAAAGTTCGTTAAGTATTTCTGCCGTTACGTTAAATGTATCGTAAGGTACGGATCAGTGAGAAACTAAGTGTGTACAAAGGAAAAGCTGGGGAGCGGTCCTGCTCAAGTATTCTTCCGCCCCTCATACAATTTTTTTCCCACACACTAAATCCCCAGGACAATCACAAACAATCAAGGACACACCGCTAAGGAGATGGCGAAGGACCCCGCAAGCTGTGTAGAAGATCGGTGGAAGAGGAGTCACGTGATGAATAGACACGTGATAGGATTCAATGAACCTGCAATTTAGAGATCTGGTAGACGTTAGCCCTGCAAGGTAGAGCTAGACTAGAAAGACAAACGTGACGAGCAATAATTCTTCTTAACAGAGGTAGTGCCGCTCATCACATATGCTCGTAGGTTGGGGCATCCTGTAGTGGAGCATTTATCTATTATTGATTTAGTGAAGTAGTCATGTATGCAGGGCGGCACACAGTACTCACGGTCCCTGCAGTATTCGCTTGAAGTAATTGTATCTTCAATTCTCTGTTTCAGACAGCCGTAGTCTTGACAGACATCTATGTTGTCCTTAATTAGCTGTAAAGTGGCGACTGGATACATTCCTTTAGGCTCACGCTCTGAACAGTAAGGCGACGGCTGAGCAGCTGCATAATCACATTCTTGAAACGTGCATGCGCAAATAGCTGATTTTGTTAATATCGCAATCAGACCGGACGTGGATGCGAAAACACTTACGCGCCATTTATCAAGTACTATACCCGGGTTTTGCAGGCTAATACCACAGCAAGCAACATAAAAAATGATGCTTCACAGCAAGCAAGACCAGTGTACACAGTAGAAGCCGACAAAGGAGGATATTCAATAGACTAACCGCTACTCCTCAGCCTGTTCGGGGGCCCGCTGGTTTATCCTACAGTGAGTCGGACTGCCACCTCTCCGGTTAGCCCTCTTTACACGTCCGAAGGGTGATCCGTACGTGGCTTTTGGTGTAACATTATAAATCTCTACGCCTATTGGCGCAAGTCAATTTTCAAGGGATCGAAATCTCTGTTACCCAGCCAAGGTGACCGTCGAGAGTGCCAACAGTCTGGAGTGTGGGCTAGAGTGGCCCGGATCAGGGCTATTCAGAGCCGCCAGCCTTGTCGCCCAGCATTGTCGCACATGAAAAATCGTAATAGGCCAGCGTCAGAAAAGTCATGATGTTGTGTCGAGGCAATTACGGGCGTTCTCATCTAAAGTTTGAATCCAGCTCTTGAGTGCTTCAAGTTTCATGGAGACCTTTGAGACAACAAAACAAGCTCGTTGTGCAAAGAAATGGACAAACTTTCGACACTTCCTTGTTCATCCTCATCCCATCACCTGTAACGCTCTCCTTTCGTATCCGGTTCTTCATGGCTATAAAACGCATGTAGTGGCGCTACTCGGTGTGCCTGATGCTGCATTAAGACCCGCAACTATGCTGCTGGCCGATCCCGACATGCGCGATTTCTGATTCGCGATGACCATCAGGCTCCCATGAGGTGTTTGCTGCCTGGCGAAGACGGGCGTCCTCCATCAGGCATCCTCCAATACGAGATCACGAGGCAGAACTAGGGTTGTTTCTAGATCGAAAGGCTGGCGCATTATTTGTTCTAGGACTGGGGGCCAGGACATGGTGCATTGGACTATCGTTTCTAGTCTCGTGTTCGGAATCGCCTTGGAATGTTCTGAAGCACATCACCGGAAAGCTTATTGCCGAGTTGATTCTCGTTTCTGATCGACAGGCCGATGAAGTAATTCCCGTTGGATGGGAAGAAACGGAGAAGAAACTTGGAACAGCCGCATCAGACTGGAAAGGAACTTGGAACGGTCGCATCAGGCTGAAAGGAATTAGAACAGTCCGAACAGGCCGGATTGGGATGACAACATGGAACGGCAAGAAGCAATATCGTCTCTAGATACGAAGGTTAGCGCAGGCAACGGAAATAATGGGGACGGCGGTCAGTCGTGAGTAGCAGCAGGTTTAGAAACTGCTGTAGCCTCGCCGCTGTGTGGCCGCGGTTTTATCTGGGCGGTAATGAGGAACAGGCTGCCTCGACTGCGCCTCGCCACCGAGTATCGCAGGGAGCATGTCATGGGGCTGCAGTGGTGGTGAGAGTTGCGAACGACGATGCGACGTCTGCGCCTCACTTACGCCCCATTCCGCCCCATGCATTGCTGCTGCCTTCGGGAAGAGGCCTATCAAATCGCTGAGTGGCGCGAGGTTGGGGCCGACTTCACCCCTCAACACCTTGTAAGGCATCCTCAGCCTTTCCAAAGTTGCAAAGCCCCAGCTGAGCGCGACGGGGAACCTCAGTCTTAAGTCGCCTGTCCGCTGCCTCTGGCAACGGAACTTGATCGCTTCTTACGCACCTCCTTACGTCCTTATATGCGCACTCGCACCATGGCGATCCAAGGCCAGCGACCGCAGCACTCGACGAGCATATACGTGACGTTTAAGGTCTTCCAACTCATCAATCAGCTTCGTCGTCGCCTCAAGCCGCGTGTCCAGCCAAGCTCGGCCGAGACGCTCTCAGAGCTTGTCGGCGCCAAGCGTGCCGGCCTCAGGGCCAGTGTCGAGGACGTAACCTTCAGCAGACTCGAGAGGAGCCTTCCCCGCCAGGCGGAGCATCGCCATCGAGACCGTGTCGCAAAGCCGCTGAAGAGGGGCAGCCGCTTGAAACCTTTGCCTCTCGGAAAGCACGCATCCGGCGGTGCTAGCACTCATGAAGAAGAAGTCCAACGGTATGTTGTCTGGGCTTCGTTTGGTTTCATGTGTGAATGGTGTTCTAATGCTGACCCCTGCGTCACAGCATGCTGAGGGACCTCGACGGCAACTTTGAGGGCCCGAATAGCGCATTGCAGCTCAGCCGGATCGCGGCAAACGAGAAGCAGTTCCTCAATCGAAACACGGAGCCAAACTTGGACACGCTCTCGCTCGAGGTTCTGATATGTCGCCTGGCCGAGGTTCACGATGCCATTGAGATCCTGAACCTAGCGCGCGCGCAGTACGACGACAGGTGGCTCATCTGCCAGGGCAACGAGATCGGGCTGGCCATCGATGAGGTCTTCATCGCCAACTACGAGCACCTGCTGCTCAGCTTGCGCGGCCAGCTGATGCAGGCCATTGTGCGCAAGGCACTCGAGCGCGCAAAGGGCGCGAGCCACGACGAGTACGGCAAGAAGGAGAGACGGCTGCTCTCGTGGTTCAGCGAGTTCCCCAATTGCCACCGGCCAATGACCACGACGTGGCCATGGTCAATCAAGCCCTCGCTCGCAGTCCTTTGGGGCGTGTGCTGGATGTTCTACTACTCCGACGGGACCCAGCCAAACCAGATCGCCAGCAGCGGTGCCCTGGAAGACTTGGTAGACAACGTGGGTGTGTCGCAGGAGTACTTCCTCAACGACAACGAGTTCATTGGGTGGAGCACGAGGCCGCCGCAGCCAGATGAGTGTGAGTGGTGAATTTCCTACCGTTGTCGCTGCTGTGTCCATCTACGGGCGTGTGGACTGCCCTCCTGCTGTGTCCTTGTTTCATGCGGTGGCTCCGGCTAATCAGATGCCAAAGCAGATCTCCATTTCGGACGGCAGATGGTCGACGTGGGGGGCGGAGGCAGAGGCGGTCGCGGAAGTGTCGGAGACACCAGGATGCCCGACCATCGCGATTTGTCACGTCACGTGCGCCGGCCCTCGCACCTCGCCGCACAGCCACAATATGCAAACCCCTCGCCCGGTACGTTTCTCCTCAGCTTGTGACTCACCCACAGGCCCCATACGTGGCCCTGTCGCCGAAGCAGCACACCTGCACTCTTCGAGGTTTCAGCCTTCTGGCCCGCCGCTGACAGCCAGGCAGATCCAATCGGCACCGCAGGCTTCCTCGCCCACTACGCGGGCTCCACCAGGCAGTCCCAGCAGTTCCAAGCGTCGCCCGCTGCCCACTATAATAGTACTTACGCGTTGACGTCCCACGCGTCGCCGACGACTCCAGCCCAAGCCTTCCCGTGGCCTGGAAACTCAGGCATTGCCACCGACAGCTTCCTTGGCTCGCACCTTGGGCCGCCCGATGTCGATGCGTTTTCAAACTGGCCTTTCGCACAGCCCAACGCAACGACGCAGCACTCGCCCGTCTCCCCCGAGTTGCCACGCCAGAGTCTTGACGGCAGTCATCTGACTCCCACCATAAGACTCACCGAGCCGAACGGCGGCCAGGCACCGGATGCTCGACGGCTAGCTGCGCCTCAAGATTTGTACACAGCTTCAAGTATATATGACGCTGGCACGCCTCAGGCGCCCCTTCCCCAGCAACGTCAAAGTCGCCAGGACATCAGTGTCCATACCAATTTCCAGAACTACAACATCAACAACAGTATGGGCCACATCCCCCAAGAACGGTCTCCACATAACATGACCCCCAATACGCCAAATAACGCCAGTATTCTCAGTCCAGTCAGTATGGCCGGAGAGCGATCGCCCGTTTCCTACCACTCTCGAAGACCGTCAAACGCCCAATCGCATGCGAGCTCGCATAGTCGGCGGGCAGAGTCTGAAGAGGGCTCGCAATCCCCAGATGCCGCCGAATCGGCAGTCTCTCCCCGCCGCGCCGGTCATGCTTTCAAGCGCACTGAGGAACCTCCCCGGAACACCGCCAACAAGATGATCTGCCTCCACAGCGACTGTGTTGACCAGAATATGACCTTTGAGCGTAAATGCGAATGGAGGTTTGTACCACGTCTCTCATCACCCCTCCCTGGGCATGACTAACATGACACCCTTCTAGTAAACACATGGACAAGCACGACCGCCCCTACAAGTGCTCCGTTGCCGGCTGCGAGAAGCTGCAGGGCTTCACCTACAGCGGCGGACTACTCCGCCACGAGCGCGAAGTCCACAAGATGCACGGTGGCACCAAGAAAGCCCTCTTCTGCCCCTTTCCGGACTGCAAGCGCTCCTCAGGTCAAGGCTTCACGCGGAAGGAGAACCTCGCTGAGCACAAACGCCGCGTGCACCGCCTCATGTCGGGGTCGTCGGATCTCGGGCCCGCATTGAAAGCTGACGTGGGCGAGCGCGAGAACGTCGAGAGCCCTGAGGAGCTCCGCGAGGAGGAAACGCAGCTCGAAAGTGACCTCTACGTCTCACGGAAACGGAAGCACTCGGAAGTCGTGCCCGCGGACGTTGACGATGCTGCGGATCTGAATGCGGAGGTCAAGCGGCTGAGGAAGGAAAACGAGGACTTTAAGCGCGAGATACAGCAGCTCGAGGAGTCGGTGAGACATCTGCAGCAGCGACAACGGTAACACTTGCATTTACGTCAACCCAAACTCATAATGTCGATATTTCTTTTGTCATTCACGACTTGAGAGGCCTCTCAATTTGCGGGGGTGCATTGCACGGCGTTTTTGGCATCTGGAGGGCTCCCTGTGCCCATGCCACGGTTTAATGATCAGGATGGGATCGGTTGTTCTATATCTACACACTCTACACTACTACGAACCTCTCGACACTCTTCGCTCGCTGCGTGTATGCTGCAAAGAGCTTGCGGGCGAGCGCACCTTATACGTCCATGTCTTCGGTATTGCTCAAAGAAGGAGGAGGAAGGGTTTATCAAATCAATCAATAAATATCACATCGATCCCTACAATAGCGAAACAGTTAAAGTGAGGAAGAATGGCGTGGTGAACCACTACCCTTGAACTGCCCTGCTGCTCAACCCTTGAAAACCCAAAACACGTCGTTTCGCCGTGACAATTCCCTCCCGCCCTCCCGCGTGCTCGTGATGATGGGGTGAGGTCGTCGACGAGAATTCGCGGCCTGACAAATCGAGGCATTTTTCCCGCCTAACTAACTAGCTGCCTGATTTTTCCAAATTGCGGCCTGAGACGAAATGTACAGTACGCGCGTGGGGCCGGATGGCTGCCTAACCCTCGCCACCCGCCACCGTTGGGACGGCTGACTCTTCCATAACTATTGTATATCACATTTTCATGAATGTTTCGCGCCCTTGACATCGACGCAACCTGTTCTCGTTTGCCCGCGCCTCGTCGTCAGTACCCACCCTACCCGCCCGCCCGTCCTCCGCTCGCCCTCCGCTCGCCGCTGCGTCGTTGACTCATACATGCCCAGCACCCAGCGGTCACAGTGGCGGGGCCGCGTGTGTGCCATGTGACAGCGCGCCCTAGCGCGTGCGCGGGGGGGGCAATGCCGTGCCGATACCGATGCGGGATTTCTGCTTCGGTGACACGGGTGGAGAGGGTGGTGGGAAGGGAAGGTGACGGTGACGGTGACGGTGACGGTGACGAGTGGAGGTGTGGCGGTGCGGTGCGGTGCGCGGATGCCTGCGGAGGGACGGAATGAGGGGGTGCCTAGGTTGCCGCTTTGTGATGTTCAGGGCGGTTTGGAGGGGTGGGGCGGGGAGGGGAGGGCGGAGGGCGGATTGGATGGGTTGAGAGCATGGTGGAGGGTCGATGATGGGAGGTTCTGTGTTGGGGACTTGAAAAGGGGGGGTTCAATTGGTGGGTTTGAGAGCAGAGGTGGCGAGGGGGGGAAGTTGCTGCAAGACATGATTGCCTGCAGGTGGGTCGTTTTAAATGGGGGCTGATGGGTCTGAGGTGTTCTGGAAGCCTGAAAGAGGTGGATGCACTAGAGGGCTGGCTCGCCTAAGGACTCCAGGGGTCTAATTCACACCTCACTGTTCTTTGCATCCTATGTTCATTCATTTGGTATACCCCAGGGTGTCTGCCAGCGCGTACAAAGACGTCCAAGCGGTCAGCAATACCCTCTGATTTACAGCTTCTTGTAGATAGCATCAACCTCAACAATATCAAATCCAAGAGTCTAATTCACACTGTATCGTTCCTTACATTCTTTATTCTTTTACTTGATATAACCCAGGGGCGTCCGAAAGCGTCTACCAAGACCCCAAGCGGTCGATAATATCCTCCTAATTCACGCAGAGCGTAAATAGCATCAACCTCATCAATATTAAATCCAAGAGTCTGATTCATACTCTATCGTTCTTTACGTCCTTACTTCGCTCACTTGATACACCCCAGAGGCGTCACACAGTCTTTAGCGATACCCCAGCAGCCTAACACCATCCTCCTAATTCTCAAACAGCGTCAATTTCCACAGCTTTCGTCACGTCAAATCAGTACGGTCAATTCACAGCTCGCCGCTCTTTACATCCTACGACCACTTCCTCTCAATAGCCTAGGGGTGTCTCAAGCCATCTACCAAAGCCCCAGCGACCTATCACCACCTTCACAGTTTCCCAGCGTCACAAAAACAGCATAACTTCCAATGATTATCAAACCCATGAACTCCAAATCACATTGCTACCATCAACAGTCTTGCTCGCTACTATGCCACCACAAAGCCACCTCAACACACCGCCATCCATCATGGTCAAAACCTTCCAGAACCACTGCCGAAATCAAGCCTCCTCCACCTGCACCGCCGGCACACCCCCCGCCCCCGCGCCCATCCCGCCCACCGCCGCGCCCGCCGTCGCCTCCCTGAAGCCCTCATGCGCGCTATGCGCCTTGTAGTACACCGCATCCGGGCCCTTCGGCATCAGCGCATCCGTAATATTCGCATCCACCACCTCGCGGATCTTCGCAATGCCCGCCGCGTGCTCAGCATCGCGGTTCCAGACGCAGATCTGGTGGTGCGTCCACTTGACGGTGAGGGAGACGCCGCAGATATCATCCAAGAACGCTGCAATCATCCCATCAGCAACAAACACTCTCCGACAACCCTCAACCTGAGGAAGAGGTGGGGAAAAGGGGAATACACATACTCTTCCGATCCGTCGCCACGGCATTCTGCAGCTGCTCGCCGACCGCCAGCAAGCACAACTCCTTCCAAAACTCGGGCCCCTGCGCTTTCGGCACCTTGAACGTCCACGCGCCGCCGCGCAGGTTGCGCGCGTCTTCCCACAAAGGCTTGACGCCCTTGTGGAAGAGGTGGATGCTGTCCTTCTTCTCCAGCGCGGCCACGTTGAAGTTGTTCAGCACGCTCCAGCACTCCTTGACGTCGCTCATCTCGGCCAGGTGCACCAGGCGCGCCTCATAGGGGGTGGAGGACGCGGCCGTGGTGGGGTTGTGGGTGCCCGTGGGCTTGCGGTCCTGGCGGTCGTGGTAGAAGTCCCACGTGTGCACGAGGGGCGGGGGCCGCAGGGCACGCTGTAGGTTGAGGCGGGTTTCTTTGCCGCGTGCCGGGGACGAGGTGGCGGCCGCGTCGGATTCCGAGAGGGTGGGGAGGGAGGAGGTGGTCAGGGAGAGGCCGCGGTGCTGGGACATCTTGCGGGCGAGGGTGGTGAAGTGGGCGTATTGGGTGTTGTAGAGGTTGATGAGGGCTTGGGCGTTCTGGCTCAAGACGTGGATTTGGGACTGGTACAGCATCGTGTGAGCGTTGTGGGTAGGTATTGTGGAGAAAGTTGGAAGATGGTTGTGAAGAAGTTTGTGACGTTGTGCGTGAAGTGACAGAAAGAGATCTGTGAAGATGGACGAAGGAAATGATTGAAGAAGGAAAGAGAAGAGATGCGGAATAGATGTTATATACTCTGGGATCCCGGCTAGCAATGGTTCTATTGATGCTATTGTTCTCAATAGCACGATGGTGGCAATAGGAGGCGCTCGGGCCATCGCGGTGAAATTCTGGCCTAGTGACGCACACGTCGACCACTCGATCATCGTGAGCCGCAAACACGTCGTAGACCAATGTGCGTGTTCTATACATATGATCCAAGAGTGCAACGTGGTTTCCGAATTCCCGGCACTAAGCTGTGGCATGGGGCTCGGCGATGGGGATGCGAGCGGGAGCAAAACCGAAGTGAAGGTCGATCCTACATGGCCGTCCCAAGGCCTCCCGTAAGACTCGTCGGCGCTGCTGTGGTATGGGAGTCACCAGGGCGTAAATGCTGTTGTGATGCGCAGGCTCCATACGTATGACAACAGTGACGATGTTCAAGCCAGGGGCAGTTTTCTTGGCAATGCCACGACCGCCCCGGCAGTAGGATGCTTCGAGGAGCTTTACAGAAAAAAATATAACAGGAAGCCGAATACAGAACTCCTAGGTCGGTGATGTATACGCAGGGAGATATGCCACGGGGTGGAGCGTAGATTTACGACAGAAGCGCAACGTTAGAACCGGATGTAGGTTCACATACGCCAGCTTCGTGGTCGCAGAATGCCTGGTACGCGCCGTTTACATATCAAAGACGACAATATTTGAGATTCATCACGGAGATCCGTCGCAACTTAAAATCGCCGGAGCTCAGCTGGGTGGATGCAATGAGGTTTGCGGATCTGGAGGATCCCGGAGGACGGGCACGCGAAATGTGTCTTCCATCTCTTCCAAAGATGAGCCGGCATTTCAACGAAGTGGCCTAGAGTGGATGCGGGCTTCGATAGATATATCTCAATCCGAAGAACTCTTGACGATTGCGTAGCGACATCAGAAAGGAGTAGCTGTTCCACAAAGGCATTTGTCTTCGTCAACGTCCATGTAGCATGATCTGGCCGCGGTACTGCCTCATGCTCCAAGTCCAAGTAGTTGGAGCCCTGTCTTGGTGGTCTCCGGTCCTCGAGGGTGGAATCCGAGTCCGATGTATCCAATCCAAAGTTTGAAGTCCAAGAGGTCCATTTCCGTTCCCAACCCCTCGAATAAATGAGACAAAAAATGAATGTGACAAATGACAGAGGAAAAACAGTACTCCCCAAAGTAAAACCACAGCGCTTACCCAAAGCTTTTCCCAATATCAACTCCTTTTCAGCTCGTTGTCAGCAACTTGTTCGAAGCGCTCCCAATCCAGAAACGAAGCACGATGCAAGTGGTCAAAAGTGACACAGCGCAAAGAATAAAGAGGGTTGAAGAGAAAGTCGAGGTGCGGCTCTGTCCAGTGCATGAGACGGGAACGAGGTGATGTCGAGTCCTTTATGCCACCATTCGCCGCCGGGGTTTAGCGCCCGTTTCCGTTTCATGCTGGAGCTGGGGGCCGGGGCGTGTTTCATGCTTTGCCGTCACCTATCTGGAGGTGTAGGACATTTATCTCCCATTTCTTCTTTTTTCCTCCTATATAACTAGAGAATCTGGGACAGATCAATCGGGAGTACATTTTACATATAATTTCGAGATAGTTTAGCGGCTTGACTCGAAATAAAATTATACCACGGTCGACCTCACCCGCCGGCCCCCCTCCGCCCCCACAAATGCCAGCCCACCGCCCGCGCTTAGCCCATATCTCCAATCCATCCCATCGCCAGAATTCTTTCCTCTCCCATCGCCATTGAAACACCACCACTGCACCTCCACCCTACGCCTCCCACAACATCCATAGGATACCACACCATTGTCCCACAACACCTCCTCGCCACCCATACCCAAATACCAAAACCCAACGAACAATCCCAGCGAATCCCGCCACCCCAGTACCCTCCCCTCCATAACACCGTCCACCCCCTCCTCCACCATGTCCTCCCCCTCCAACGCCCC